TGAGGAACATGCTGAGTTTGATTTATAACCTTGTTAATACAACTGGTCCCATTGTATTACCAACCAACGAAACATTACATGCCCATATTCGCCACGTAACTGAACCATTCTGAGGTACGAACAAAAGATTCTATCTTATTAATATCAATTCTTGATACACAGTGTCGGACTAAGTATCTAAGGCTACATTCCTAGTACTCGACAGAGCAGGATAGTGACACCGAAAATGTAAGAACTTATACAGTAGTTATTTCATGAAAGATTTACATCATGAGAAGAGGAACGACAACTATTAGGTCATTTACTCTATGTGAAGGCTAGCCCTTGGGGCGTTTGAGTATCTCTGAACTTAGAGCAGTTTTAGATTAGAATACTTCGCTAGTATGGATGTCGTGTAGAAACTAGATAATTATTTAATTTGAGGTTTGCTTAGATTCGGATATTCACGTTGAATATCCTATAGTACCGCATCCGGTTTATATGCTACATTGATCGTGTGGCCTAAAACTCTTCCCTTTTATCATAAAAGGGTAAAATTCGCCGATGATGTCTTAGATCCATAGAATAGAGACTTTTATCGATGTGTGAAATACTTGTCAGTGATATAAATATATTTGCCAAGATAAATGCATGACCTACTATATGGTTAGACTTAAAGGCGTCTGCAGCGTTGAGAGTCTAACTGCCTAGTTAAAAGTCAATTGTTTGACTTTGAGATCGGCTGGAAACCAATGTATGAGTACGAAATGGCATACTCCTAATAACATCGATGATCATTAGGGCAGAGGTTCGCATTGTATATTCGTTATCCCGAGGGGCAATTTACCTTGATGATCTTCCCCAATCAGGGAAAAAAGAGGTGCTAATAATACCTTTAGTCTGCCAGGATTATAAATTGTTGGTGTCAAATATATCCTCGGCCTTTTCTTGGAATAATTTGAAGTAGGGTCGAAGACTTATAATCTGGTACCACAGGAACTGGTAGTTCACAGGGCAGAGTTTCGGACTTTATTGTGTCCCGGTTATTAGAGAGGTGCCTTCGTAGTGCACTTGGTGGCTGGGTTTTAATAGACTGATACATGTTAAAGTCTATATTTCGGGATAAGTTCGGTGCTGTTGCAGAGACAATAGATACTTCGCTAAGGAGTGACTGTGGGATTGAGCGTTAGAAATTAGTTGGTGTCAAGTGTACATTGTATGGGATTGATTTAGTGGTGTACGGGCCTCACCCATCTGTATACCTAGAGTGAGTGTGTCGGATGTATATTCAATGGCTGTGTCAGATGAATGATGATGGATGTAAGGTGATACCAATGAATTCCCCCTTCTTGTCAGGATATGTCCAGATTTGCGGCAGTGTATTCTTTGTGAGTAAGAACAAGTCCACGACTTATTTGATGGATTCGTACTTCGGTCAACCGATTACGTCTGTAGGTGTTGTTGCCGAATCAACAGAGGCCATCCCATCTGCGTGGTTGTAAACGGAAGTGATGTTTTTGCATCTCGGAAGTTATGCAATGGGGCAGTAATGTTCAGAGATTACATAGTTCAAATACTTAATACTATGAACAAAATTGCCACCGGTGTAAACCACTGTTAATGTACCAACGAATCAGTTGTCTTTTTGAAGATTGAAGTCATTCAGAAATATCTGCTCTGATTTCACTAGGTCCTCGGAAACTAAGTGAGAGGCTATATGCTGGAGTGGTATTTCATTCACAGATACAACATCCAGCCGATCGTTCATTGGGGTAGAGCATCGTTTGAGGTACTTGGTTGGAAGGACAAAGGTACCTCGCTGCGTTTTTTGATGCAACCCTATTTAAGGTTGTTTCTTGGAGGCATTCTTTCATTTTGAGTTTCCCTAACCCGAAACAAGTAGCCTCTAAAATGTTGTCTTTCAAAGTTGAAAACAATAAAATCAATACATAGAAACTCATTCAAATTCAGCTTAACGTTGCATTAATTTTGCTCATCAGTGTAATATCTTCGTTAACGCTGTAAGATATATTAAGAGAGAACTTTCAAAATTGAGTATTTCTCCTGTCTATATGATGTAAGCATGAAAAGCTTTTTTAAACTTTAACCTTCGTCCTGAAATTCATTACAAACTTGACAATCAAAAAAAGCTTTCTTTCGTCTGTCATTAGTGAGTCAGCAATTGACAAACGATTTTGATTAATACGCATTAATCAAGATTATTTTAAATCCTAATAAGGCGAATATTATACAAAAATAAAATGAATCATACGAAAAAAAAACATTTCTATTGATATCAAGTAGTAGTATTATAAAAATATCATAAACAAAAAAAAAACGCTTGATTGATAATCCGTTGACAAACAATAAGAAAGAAAATAGAATAAAAAAAGCTCATTCATTCATTCTTTCATTCATTCACTCATTCAATCAACAAGTGAGGTGTAAATTAACCGTGAAATACTAAATGAAAGAATCAACTTGAAAATGGGCCTGACTTTTCACTCATTCATTCAATCATCATCATCATTGTTGTTGTTGTTTTTGTTATTCAACCAAGTGTATGTTTGTTGTTGTTTATTTATTCTTATTCTAAAAGTAAAAAATCAATAATGCACCCAACTAAACTCATTATGAATTGTGTGAATGCAACTATTATTTATTTGTCCGCTCATTCTTCATTCTTCACTTCTGTTTTATTTATCTCTAACGTGGGTCACACATTATTTAAGTGTCAGTCTAAGAGACATACAGACAGACATTAAGAAGTTGCTTAATTTAAAACTGATTCATTTTTTTTGTTCGTTCAAGCTTTATAAGAGAAAAACAACAAACAAATAATAATCATTATGATTGACAGTTAATGTGAAATGAATTGCTTAAAAAGCAGATCTTAAGAGTAATGATTTCTTAAACATTGCCCTATTGAATCGAAAAAGTAATAAATCAAAATATTGAAAGAATTAAATTTAATGTTTTAGAAAATGTTTAATGTATTTTTCAAAGATTTTAAAAATTTTGAGATTTTAGTAAAGTGAGGGTTAGATTATCGTGTATAGTAAAATTCGGATAAATTTACATCAATGCTATATCGGCTCTGAAGTTTAGAAAGAGAATATTTGGAAAATTTCAAGTTTCTATGGAAATTGTATTTTGAAGTGTTTTGTGTTCAAAATGAATAAAATCTGTTCAAAATTAGAACGAAATGTGCCTTCGACGTTCAAGACCAATTAAAACGATAACGTCTAAGGGATAGTATTTTGATTCCTACAAATATTATTGATGATCATCTCAAATTACTAGTTCTAAATTGACAATTTTAGAAAAAATTAACCCTAAGCGAGCAGTCCTAGAAGATGGGAATAACTTTTAAATATATTAATCCAAAATTAGACGAAATAGTTTTGAACTTATAAAAAGTTTTGGATCAAAATCTTTAAGGAACTTTTCTCAGTTCCCCAAGGCTTCTCCACTTGCTTTCGTTGGAGTCAACGCATAAAGTATTAGTGGTCATATCCATCGTTCTACTAGACTAAATGGCTGTATGGGTTTCTCTCACCAGCCATTTATACATTCCGTTATAGCCTGGAGGCTAGTGTTGGGATTAGAACACCGTAATATATTTAGATGTCTGGGTTTTTGAAGCAAGTTTCCCAGGCCCGTTTTTTTTCAATCGCGAAACATTAGAGCAATTTCGTGCGGGAAACTGCTCTTACCCGGTTGATTCTAAGCTGATTAACCGTGTACCAACAGATACCCGCACGAAATTGCTCTAATTTTCCGCGATTGACCACTATTTCCTATCTGGGAGTAATGTCTTATAGTTTCCCGCACGAAATTGCTCTAATTTTCCGCGATTGACCACTATTTCCTATCTGGGAGTAATGTCTTACAGTTTCCCACAATTTCTGTTTCCAGTATGGGATCGGAAACGTCTTTTGTTGGGAAATTGTTCTAATGTTCTGCGATTGACCACGATTTTCTATCCGGGACTAATATCTTACAGTTTCCCATAATTTATGTTTCCAGTATAGGATTGGGAACGTCTTTTGTTCACGTTCAATATGTCCATTATACATCAATAACGTATAATGCCGTCTCGTTTGGATTGGAGGAATGTCCTACCCTATTTCAAGCCCAAAGATCACCTACATTACGCTTTTATAAAGCCAGTGTGGCTTAGTCGAACTAGGACCCCATTTCAACTACATAGCGCCTAACATCTTGTTTTCTTTCTACTACAGTTTCGGATCATGCATTACTCATTCATATACATATGTATATGAATGTATGTAGGTAACCCTGTCAGTCATAGGGTTCGAGTATGCAGAAATTTTCATCTTTCACCATTTTCTTGGGGAAATAAATAAATAAGGTCCGATCATAATGAATAACGGAAGCACCAAAGCATTATTCGGGGATTGGGTTGTATGGGGGCTATGTGAAATAATAAACGGATTTCAACCATTAGATCAAGAGGAGAGTATGTGTCTAATTTCATTAAATTATATTAAAAATTGCGATCTACAGTTTGATAACAAGGTTTATATGGACGGACGTTAATGAATCGATTCAAAAAACGATTCTCGGTATATTGGTATAAGTTAGGTTTCTATAAATCGACTTTAAAATAATCAAAGAATCTTTTTGTCCGAAAAAGTCGAAGTCGACTTTTTTGACCTAAGTCAACTATCTTGTAAGAAAAACTTCGAAGAAACGAAGTCGAAAAGTCGACTTTTTGTTTCAACTATAGAACCCTACTTTAAGGTACAGTGGTGTAGGATATACCTAATTAAGATAAATTGATTCTAAATGAAATTCATTATTCATTTATTATAAACAAGGTTCATTATTTAATGAATCTCCTAACAGGGCTGGGATTCTCTTGGAATACATAAATAAATTTTGCATTAATAACTAAAAACAGACATTAAGAAGATAATCCCAGCCCTGAATATCAACAAGAAAAGTTGAACAAATAAATACCTAATCCTTTCTTTTTTTCTTATTCTTTATTCTAGAAATCCTTTGACAAAAATATTCTACCTGGTCTCTAAAATGATGATTCACTTCAAGCATAAATTTTAACATCAAAACAGCTGAATAACTATAGATTCGTTTTTTTTACAAAAAGTTTACTTTTCATGTAGTTTTTCTTAAAGTGACAACAAAATAAACAATAAATTTTTATACCATAACAAAAAAGTGAAAAAAGTAAACATTGAAAAGAAAATAACGTAAAAAAGCTTAATTTATCACTATAACAATTTCACCCGCGTTTAATTCTCAACGCGCTATACTCTCTATCGGTCTCTCGTTTACTCTATCAAGTTCAAAGTCATAAAAAAAATAAAAATATTGAAAAATTCTAAAAAAAAACATTCATAAATAAAAGCAAAAAAAAACACAGAAAAAGCTTTTTTGTATTTGCTCCTCTTTTTGTGTGTGGAGCTCACTATCTCTGTACTTGGCTCTCTTTAAGTGGGGAGCAAAAGTTTTTTATTTTCATTTTTTTTTTTGCAAACACGTTGTTTTGAAAACAGCTTACAAATGAGTAACGAATCGTCTGCGAGTGAAACAACACCGCTGCGTCGGCCCGACGATAGATACATTAATTCGCTACAACAAACGTCTCCCCCATTAACGCCTTCATCTTCTGCAACGTTTAATAATTATCAAACGCGTAACCCCTCGTCGGTCCGTAATAATTTAACTTCCTCGTTAACGGATCCTATAAATTTGGCTTCTACAACGGTGGCCATTTCTAATCATAATAACAATAATATTGAAGTTCATTTAAGCAGCAGCCATCAGCAACAACATCTGAACAATAATAACAACAGCAATAGTGAAATATTTATCAAAATGGAAACAAATAAACGTATTCTCTATCGAGTTGGCTTAGATGTGTTAATTTTATTGTGCGGTAAGTGGAAAAATAATATAAATAATTTGTTTAAATCAAAGTTAAATAAAAGTGTTAAATTTTGAGGAACATAAGAGAAAATATTATTATTGCATTGTTTTGTTGAAAATCACCACACAGTTTGTTTTTAGTGATTGTATCAGGGGTTTAGTATGTCAGCCAGTCAAGTTTGTGTTTAAAAAGTATCATTAATTTGTATGACTTGGTTACCAGATTGTTTTATTTTTAATGCTAAAAAATACCCAAAATTTCTTTAAATTTTTCTCATCGCAATGATCGGAATTTAAGTCTGATTTAAAATTTTGAAATAGTACTAACTTATAACATAAATAGCCTAGACTATAAATAGCCTAGACTATAGACTAGACTATAGACTAGACTATAGACTAGACTAGAGACTAGACTATAGACTAGACTATAGACTAGACTATAGACTAGACTATAGACTAGACTATAGACTAGACTATAGACTAGACTATAGACTAGACTATAGACTAGACTATAGACTAGACTATAGACTAGACTAGACTATAGACTAGACTATAGACTAGACTAGACTATAGACTAGACTATAGACTAGACTATAAACTAGACTATAGACTAGACTATAGACTAGACTATAGACTAGACACTAGACTATAGACTAGACTATAGACTAGACTATAGACTAGACTATAGACTAGACTATAGACTAGACTATAGACTAGACTATAGACTAGACTATAGACAAGACTATAGACTAGACTATAGACTAGACTTTAGACTACACTATAGACTAGACTATAGACAGACTACAGACTAGACTATAGACTAGACTATAGTCAAGACTATAGACTAGACTATAGATTAGACTATAGACTAGACTAGACTGTATACTAGACTATAGACTAGACTATAGACTAGACTATAGACTAGACTATAGACTAGACTATAGACTAGACTATAGACTAGACTATAGACTAGACTATAGACTAGACTATAGACTAGACTATAGACTAGACTATAGACTAGACTATAGACTAGACTATAGACTAGACTATAGACTAGACTATAGACTAGACTATAGACTAGACTATAGACTAGACTATAGACTAGACTATAGACTAGACTATAGACTAGACTATAGACTAGACTATAGACTAGACTATAGACTAGACTATAGACTAGACTATAGACTAGACTATAGACTAGACTATAGACTAGACTATAGACTAGACTATAGACTAGACTATAGACTAGACTATAGACTAGACTATAGACTAGACTATAGACTAGACTATAGACTAGACTATAGACTAGACTATAGACTAGACTATAGACTAGACTATAGACTAGACTATAGACTAGACTATAGACTAGACTATAGACTAGACTATAGACTAGACTATAGACTAGACTATAGACTAGACTATAGACTAGACTATAGACTAGACTATAGACTAGACTATAGACTAGACTATAGACTAGACTATAGACTAGACTATAGACTAGACTATAGACTAGACTATAGACTAGACTATAGACTAGACTATAGACTAGACTATAGACTAGACTATAGACTAGACTATAGACTAGACTATAGACTAGACTATAGACTAGACTATAGACTAGACTATAGACTAGACTATAGACTAGACTATAGACTAGACTATAGACTAGACTATAGACTAGACTATAGACTAGACTATAGACTAGACTAGACTATAGACTAGACTATAGACTAGACTATAGACTAGACTATAGACTAGACTATAGACTAGACTATAGACTAGACTATAGACTAGACTATAGACTAGACTATAGACTAGACTATAGACTAGACTATAGACTAGACTATAGACTATAGACTAGACTATAGACTAGACTGTAGACTAGACTATAGACTAGACTATAGACTAGACTATAGACAAGACTATAGACTAGACTATAGACTAGACTTTAGACTACACTATAGACTGGACTATAGACAGACTACAGACTAGACTATAGACTAGACTATAGTCAAGACTATAGACTAGACTATAGATTAGACTATAGACTAGACTAGACTGTAGACTAGACTATAGACTAGACTATAGACTAGACTATAGACTAGACTATAGACTAGACTATAGACTAGACTATAGACTAGACTATAGACTAGACTATAGACTAGACTATAGACTAGACTATAGACTAGACTATAGACTAGACTATAGACTAGACTATAGACTAGACTATAGACTAGACTATAGACTAGACTATAGACTAGACTATAGACTAGACTATAGACTAGACTATAGACTAGACTATAGACTAGACTATAGACTAGACTATAGACTAGACTATAGACTAGACTAGACTAGACTAGACTATAGACTAGACTATAGACTAGACTATAGACTAGACTATAGACTAGACTATAGACTAGACTATAGACTAGACTATAGACTAGACTATAGACTAGACTATAGACTAGACTATAGACTAGACTATAGACTAGACTATAGACTAGACTATAGACTAGACTATAGACTAGACTATAGACTAGACTATAGACTAGACTATAGACTAGACTATAGACTAGACTATAGACTAGACTATAGACTAGACTATAGACTAGACTATAGACTAGACTATGGACTAGACTATAGACTAGACTATAGACTAGACTATAGACTAGACTATAGACTAGACTATGGACTAGACTATCGACTAGACTATGTATAGACTATACTATAGACTATACTATGGACTAGACTATAGACTAAACTATATACTTGACTATAGACTAGACTATAGACTAGACTATATACTAGACTATATACTAGACTTTAGACTAGTCTATTGACTAGACTATAGACTAGACTATAAACTAGTCTGGTTTATTTAGTACTATCAAAAATTTATAAGTTAGAAAAATTGCCGAAAATGTTGTGGAGGTACCACGGTAATTTTCGATATCAAAAAGTACTAAAGTACTAAATTTTCCATGCCTGTTTTATATTCTTGTCCCCAAAATCGAAAGGTTATGAGATGCTCCATCCAAGCTGAGGTTTAATAAAAGTGGTAGCTGAAGTCGTTTGTGAGTCAATATACAACATTCAAATTATCAGAGTTTAGTGTTCCCCAAGTGTTTATCGTCTTTAGTTCTCGATTTAACGAGTTGACCACATTAAACCACTTAAATATAAAGTCCACATACCCATTTTATGTTTTCACTTCATTTTAATATTTGTAAAATATGAAAAACTTTAATTTACCAGCCCTCATTGTGTCATCATTTACACAAAACAGTGGCAACACCACTCAATTTCACACGCACCTAGGGTAAAAACAAACATCCACAAGTACACAAATACTTTAATTGTTTTCAATGCCATTAACTGGTTTTTTTAAATACTCAAAACTCTCCGAAAGTTCTTTAAATAACTCTAAAACCAGTTGCTCAAACAGTCATCGCATTTGTATGCAAAAAAAAACTCCATTTCTCGCTCACTTACTCTCTAGTGAATGATATTTATACACCCTACAATACTTTTAAAGGAAACATAATGGATTTGTAACACCCTTATATATATCCATCTTAAATTATAACAATCGAAGTCAAAATTAGGTAATATTTTCAAAGTCAGTGAATAATTAGTCATAGCTTCTACATAAAGTTGATTTTTAAAAGAAAATACTTTAATCCATATAAATCAACTACAGGTATACATTTACTCGGAGAACCAAAGGTTCCAGGTGATTAAGATTAATTTTGATATAAATGAAATAACATTCATAAGTACCGATTAAAAGAGTTTTTGGAAATCCACATACATATGTATGTATAATGTCTTTCCAACTGTGTAGGGTATACACATAACGAATGTGGATTATTCTTTATTTGGTGTTTTTGATTTACTAAGTTTTTAGTAAATTATTTGTTTAAACCGAAAATATTTTATAAATACGTGCATATTTTCTACAGTTATGTTTGTTATTTTCTCGTTATTTGACATTATCTTAACATCATGTAAAACAACCTTTAATTGTCGTTTATTATTATTACTATAACTACTATTTTTAGCAGTAGTCAGAGATGGGAAGTTTAGCACTATTCGTAATGTTAAGTATATTTTCGCGGAAAGAAATGTCGGGTTATAAATGCTTAAGAATAAATAATGCTTTTAAGTTGCGAAAACTTTAAAAGATTTATGAAATTAATTATATATTAATTTTTTTAAAATCTCACGTTTCCATCTCTGTAAGTACCTGTTGTGTACGTAGAAATCACAAATATTTAATTAAGGTCACCACCACACAAACAATGTATTACTCCCAGCTCAACTGTTTTCAAGAGAAAAGAGTTTTACAATAATAATTCGTTGCTTTTCGCACTACAAATCAGATCTGGAAAATTTATTTCATAAATCGCCAGAGAGTGACACTGACTGGTTTTATAAATAAAGCAATTATTGGTGTACATGATCCATTAAGGTAATTCGAAAACTGCTCTTCTGAAAACATTATTGGAGTACATGATCCTTTTAGTAACACTAAGTAATGCAGGAACGGACCATATTGTGGATCATGAACTCCCATAATTTTAGCAAAGGATTTTTGAGACACGTTTTTAATACATATTTGGATTAGTTTTGGACCAGTTCTATTGCTTTGCGGAGTATTTTTCACACGCAACTTTAGCAGGGATGGATGTTATTTCTCTGGTGGGTAATAGTAATGGTTGAAACAAAATAACGGGAACACTGATGCACGGTGAAATTATTATTTTGGCATAAGTTTCCACAACTCCAGAACAGATGGGGCATCCCACCCACTCGTACACCCTTATGAATGTGTCGAATAAATGTCTTCGTGTTACCAATAAAGTTCTCTTCTTTGTCCGAAAATGTTAAGAGGTTTAATGCTTGATCTACCGTAATCAAGATCGTGCTTCAGTCTACCAAATACTTTTTTAGGTGCTATTTCCGTAACAAGAGAGGCCATTCCAGTATTATGTTTTCGAGGACGGCTTCAGATATTGTCTCAAGATTGTGGGACATTCCACAATGGAACTCCAGTGGTCAGAGACTAGTCAGCTAAAGTACTTGAGCAA